TTTGAGTTACTCCTTGTGCTAGAAAAGTGCTACACAAACCTGATCGATTACTATTATTATTACTTCCATCAGTATGTGGGTTTTGCAACCAGGGGAGAGAACACGCTGGACCTGGCCTACAGCAACATCAAAGAGGCATTCGGGCTGTCCCCCGGCCTCCCCATGGCTCCTCAGACCATCTCTCTGTTATGATAATTCCTGCATACAAGCCCCTGCGGATCAGGAAAAAACCCACAGTGAAGCGGGTAAGGGTTTGGCCTGCAGGAGCCATGGAAGCTTTACAGGACTGCTTCGAGCATACAGACAGGGACATGTTCAAGGAAGCTGCTGCAGACAATCATAACACGTGGGTTGAAGAATATGCTGAGTCTGTGAAGAACACGCATGTGCGGATGCTGTTTTTGGACTTCAGCTCAGCATTTGATGCGGTATGCAGCATCTGGTAAGCAAACTGCCCCCCCTTGGTTTCAGCACCCCCCTGCCTAACTGGCTGCTCAATTTCCTTACAAACAGACGTAAGTCGGTGTGGGTGGGCAACAACGCCTCCAGTGTCCTCTCCCTGAACACAGGCTCTCCTCAGGGCTGTGTCCTGAGCCATTGCTGTTCACCTTGATTATCCACGACTGCTGCTCAAGGTTCACTACTAACCACATCGTGAACTTTGCAGACGACACGACAGTAGTGGGCCTCATCAAGGATGACGACGACACGGCCTACAGAGAGGAGGTGGAATATCTGGAGGACTGGTGCAAAACTAACAATCTGGCCCTGAACGTTGAAGCCGGCCCAGTCACACACCTCTCACCATCAACAACACAGCAGTGGAGAGGGTCAGTACCACAGAGTTCCTGGGGGTGCAGATAACGGACACCCTGACCTGGTCCCATCACACTGGGACTCTTGTAAAGAGAGCTCACCAAATGAGGGGAGCACACCTCCTCGGAGTGGGCAAATTAGTGAAAATCTACGTAATCATGAACAAAAACATCTACCACAGCATTTTGCATCGTGAAATCCCTTCTGGACTGAATCTGATTGGTCGTGGGTTCATATACCAACAAGTCAATGAGCCCAAGCATAATTCAAAGCTGTACAGAGAGCATCTAACCAAGAAAAAGGAATCTGAAGTTCTGGAACTGATGGACTGCCCACGTCAAAGACTGGATTTAAATCCTATTGAGCAAATTTGGGATGCAGGACATTTAAAGATTGATCGCACAAACGTTTCATCTAAAGCCGGCCCGCGGGCCATTTGTGGTCCACATGGCCCGCACCGCATGTCAAAAATAAAATATAACCTGGCTCACAAAATTACTTTTTTATTTACATACTCTTTTGCAATGTTTCATGTCAGTTTAAGATACCATCTGCACACAACTGAAATGAAAAAACAATTCTGTTAAAAAAGAAAGAAAAACAGCGTTTCCGTCAGGGCCAAGGTAATGTCAAAGGTCAGGATGCCTGCATGTCCCCGAAACAACGAGCTACGTGGCTACAGAGAGGGCTAACATCTCAGCAAAGACTTTTTCATAAAGCCAAGAAGGACGCTGATGCTGCACTTGAAGCTAATTATGTGGTGAGTGAGTTAATCGCCAAAGCTGGAAAGCCATTCACCAAAGGACAGTTTTAGAAGGATTGCATGTGGCAAGTTTCTGATGTTCTATGTCCAGAAAAAAAGAACTTGTTTAAAAATATATCTCTCTGTCGGCCAACACCGTGGCAGAGCGGATTAGCGAGTTATCAAGTGAAATTTACAAGCAGTTACGCATAAAAGCCAGCGCTTTCACTGCATCCTCCGAAGCTCCTGATGAGAGCACGGACAAAGCTGATAATGCTCAGCTCACGATCTTCAACAGGGGAATCAATGAACAGTTTGAGGTGACAGAAGCATTGCTAAGTTTATGTCCAATGCACAGGTGCACAACAGCCAAGGACATATTCCAGCAGCTGCGTGATGTGGTTGCCATGGAACAGACTGGTCGGCAGTACGACTGATGGAGCCACGTCCATGACAGGCAGAAAAAACGGACTAGTAGCGCTGCTACAGAGAAAGTTAGAGGAGAACGCAGATCCAGCTGTGGTTTTTGCACTGCATCATTCATCACCAAGCACTGTGCAGAAAATGCCCCAAATATGAACATGTCATGTCTGTAGTCCTGAAATGTATTAATTACATCAGTCTAGGAGTTTACAGCACCACCAGTTCCATGTCTATTTAGAAGAAACTGAGTCGGCATATGGTGATGTGCTTTGCTTTACTGAGGTGTGCTGGCTCAGCCGGGGAAACGTACTGAGGAGACTTTTTGAGTTAAGATCAGAGGTGAAGAGATTCATGGAGGATGGCAGAATGACTGTTCCTGAACTTTGGGGATCCAAAATGTCACATGGACCTTGCATTCCTAGTGGACATCACACAGGAGTTGAACATCCTTAACCTGAAGCTGCAGGTCCCTGGTCAGCTCATCCCAGCAGCTTATGATAGTGTAAAAGCCTTCACTACATAACAGACACCCAGGAAGGGAAACATATCAATAACTACCAACTAAATCTTTACCAAACAGTTTCTTCACCAATATGTCTGTAAAGGTGTGTAACAACATGCTTTAAAATATTGAAGTTCAACTCCTGTGGGAAACCTTAAAAAAAACCTGCACAAATTAGGGTACACATAAATGATTGTCGAAAAATCTAAAAATCGGACCTTAAGAAACTTATTAGGACTGAAATCAGTTTTTTTATGACTGAGTTGATTGTTAACATTTAGATTTCACCACAAACACTTCTTTGTTGAAAAAGGCCACACTCACTTTTACATTTATATTCACAGCAGCTTTTCTTTCACATACTTACACACTGCAGAAACTGCAGTCATGATGTTCTTGAGTCTGAAGAAGACATAGACAACGACTCTTGAAGCTTCTGACATTGTGAATAAGAAATAACAGCATGACAATGCTCGGCCTCATGTGGCTGAAGTGTGTCAGCAGTTCCTGATGATGAAGGCATTGATGCTGTGGACCGGCCGGCCCGTTCCCCAGACCTGAATCCAATTGAACACATCTGGGACCTCACGTCTCGTTCCATCCACCAACGCCACGTTGCACCACAGACTGTCCAGGAGTTGACTGATGCTTTAATCCAGGTCTGGGAGGAGATCCCTCAGGAGAACATCCGCCACCTCATCAGGAGCATGCCCAGGCCTTGTAGGGAGGTCATACAGGTATGTGGAGGCCACACACACGACTGAACCTCATTCTGACTCGTCTGGAGGAATTTCCACTGAAGGTGGATCAGCCTGTAATGTGATTTTCCACTTTTATTTTGAATATAACTCCAAATCCAGACCTCCATGGGATGATAACTTTGGTTTACATTTTATGTTATTTTTCATCTCAACACATTCCACCATGTCATGAATAAAGATTTTCAAATGGAATATTTCATTCACTGAGATCGAGGATGTGTTATTTTAGTGTCCCTTTATTTTTTTGAGCTGTGTATAAGTATGTGAAATAAAAGCTGCTGTGAATGTAAATGTAAAAGCGAGTGGACTTTTTCAAAAGTGGAGTGTTTGTGGTGAAATATAAATGGACAGGTTTTTATCAGGGTTTCCCACAGCAGTTGAACGTCAACATTTTCAAACATGCTTTTACACACCTGTACAAACATATTGGTGAAGTAAGGATTTAGCTGGCAAACTTGTGAAATATCTCATGAAATACCCTCACTAACTGTGGAAAACTGAGTTTGCTGGAAAAAACTTCAGCTACTTTACCATATGCAGATCTCTAGTGGAGGACGGTGCAGCGGTGATGAGCAGCCTGTATTATTGAAAACCTACAGTAGGAATCTGAACTGCGTTTTGCCGACTTCAAGGCACATCGCTGCACTTTCCAGCTGTTTGCAGACCTCTTTTCAGTTGATGTGGAGAATGTCCCAAGTGTGTTGCAAATGGAACTTATTGACTTGCAGCGCAACAGTGAACTGAAAAATTCAGAGAGGCAGACGGAAAAGCAGACAAGACCAGACAATTTCTAAGAGAATTAGCTCCATCCTTCCCAGAGCTCTGCAAAGTGTTCAGTCAGCTAGTGTGTCTTTTGGAAGCACATACATCTCTACTATGAACGTTAATAAGCGCAAGTACAGGTCCAGGCTTAGTAATGCCCATCTTCAAGGTGTACTCAGGATTTCAACTGTGGCCTCCATGAGGCCAAATGCAGCTCATCTGTGTGAGCAGAAGTGCTGCCAGGTGTCGGCCAGTAAATAGAACAGAGGTACAAATGTGTTCAAGGATTGCATTTCTTAGTTCATTGCAAAGTTTCATTGTTGTATTTAAGACAAAGCAAATTAAGAGAAATTATTCGTCTGTTAAAAAAAAATGCATAAAATTGTGTAGAAACTGCTGATTGTGTTTTCAGTCAAGTATGACAATATATTGTATGGAACTGGGGGGAAGTCAAATTTCAGAAATGCTGCACTTTCTTGTTGTACTTGAATGCTGAAGTGGCCCTCCTATGAGATGACAATACCAGCAGTGGCCCCAAGCCCAGCTGAGTTTGAGAGCCCTTATCTAAAGCAAGTCTGTGGGAACAGCGAGAAACTATGTGGAACTCGACAACAACAGAGACGGTCTAAAAGGACATGAAAACAATGGCAGCAAGGATGCAGCTGTTATCACGGCCAAAGCAGGCCACAGGAAATATGAAGGTTTTTGGTTATTATGTGTGAAAAATGATTATTTAGTTGTTTCAGTTTTTTGTTTGCCAAATAAATAAAAAGAACCTTTTTAGTTTTAAACAAGTTCTTGGAAGGTTTCTAAAATATAATGTTTTCTCATTTTTCTGACAGGTGGTTAACACACTTGTTAAGCACTGCATATTCACACAATTCTAAGATTATCGAGGACTAACTCTTTTGACAATAAACTGGCTAAAATACTGATCATGATGCCAAGTCAACATAGTTACACAAGAATTTCTTCCAGACAAAATAGGACTTACGATTGTATAAAGAGCCACATTCTGCATACTCCATGACCAGACAGACCTGAGAACACAAATCACATGATGTTCACAATGAAGGCATGATGGTGATGCTGTGAATTCCTCTAAAATCCCTCCCCCTTACTGTCCAACATCCTGCAACTATCTGACAACATATAAGAAATAAGATGCATTAGCTAAAGTAATGGGGTTTCTAACTGACAAACAGTTTATTGATGCTACTGTGTTTATTATACATACACTAATAGATCAATATATGCCAGTAAATGTGAGATGGCAACAAAAGCTCTAAAAAAGCCGAACATTTCTCATGGTGGAAAAGGTCATATGACCAAGTCAGGTTCCTACTTATTTGAACATTTCTGGTGTTATATTTCCTATTTACCATCCTTTTACAGTGTTGTTGGTATATTTTCATCTTTTACACATTCCCGTCAAGTTTGTACACCTTTTCACAAGGCAGTGTTCTGTTGTAACAGAATGCATGGTGAAAGTTCTCATTTAAAAACTACATGTTCATTTTTTCCCATTCTTTTTTACCCTGGAAGACACAGAGCATATTTATGAAGGAAGAACTCTGCAGGGGCTTTGTTTTCTACAGTCGCAGAGAAGCTGCACTGAGGCCTTTTGCTGTGCTTTGCAACAAACTGCTAACAGATGGTCTTTAGGAGTATTTCCCTTGTTGTATACTACACAACACAAAAGCCCCTTTCACACACAGGCCATGCAACATTGCTGACTTCATCCATCCATTAAAGTGACAGCACTAGTCATTCAGACATAGGTCATTTCTTTGCTAATGTTCCTCACCACAGTGCCATGACCGCAGAAGCGCATGACATTTGTCTTGACAAAACAATACACCAAGTGATGTATGACACATAATAATGCAATAACAGACAAAACTAACCTAACAACAGCTGATCAAAGTGGCCAAAAAACTAACATCCCAGTTTACTTTCCGCTTTCAAAAACACAGAAACTGAAGGCTCATGACTCAACCTGAGGCTGGCCTCAGTGTAACAAAGTATTTCATAGATTTATTATTTAGCCTATAAAATGTGACTGCGTGACAGCTCACTCGTCTGTCTGGATCCTAATCAACCATTAACTACGAACAAATTGTCCTAAACAGCTGGAAACCAAACTGACATTGTGTGAATTTACTAAAGTTAGCACTGTTGTACCGCTGCTGTCGCTACATCTGTCTCTGTCAAAACGCACATCTGGGTCGTGCTGCTGTGCGATGCTGCAGGTATGAAGCAAACTCCAAGAGAACAACTTCCAAACAGCTGTAAAAAAAACTAACTTCACTTCATGTTTGTGTCTTGTGGGGAAAAACACTCAGATTATACTTATAGTGATTCATCTTTAACCTGTTAGTGTTTTTATCACAGTGAGGTTTGTTGTCATTGGAATTTCATTTTGTAACCTAATAGATTTGCAATTGTTGACAAAAGTGCTTGAAAAAAGATTCGTTGTGATTTTGACATACAAACTTTATATTCTGTAATACTTTTGGATAAATATTACAGTTGAAATGTGGATAAATCTTCCCCTAATAAGTCATTTCCCACAACCGCAAGTACAGCTGCTTGTGAAAAGGGCTGAAGAAGGGTTGAACCCCCCGTTACTAAAAATGGGTCAATACCCCATTTTTATCCATACCTACAATTTAAGATAAATGACAGTGGATTCATAGAAGAGTCCTCCCCCTTCCCTGTCAGATCCCAGTGAGCGTACAGCACTCTGCAGGCATAGTGGGCACCTCCCCCCATGTTGCAGCTTTCATGGTGACAAAATGAGAAGCAAAGTGAGGTCTCTGGCTGACAGTAGCCACACTGTGCACAAAGCAGATGCACAAAGGTACGACGACATCACTTCCCTTACAAGAGACAATCAGGACAATCCCATGGACACGACAAAGCTCATCTTTGCCTGTGCTGTCAACTTTTTTCACCATCACAATTTGATAAGGAAATTCACAGCAATGATCAGCAGCCCTGATATGACACTAGAATGTTCAACACACCAGAGCACAGTAACTCCCTTTTGTTGTTGTTTACTGTCCTCTTCACGTTCTCTGCTGCCTTGCAGTGACCAAAAGACGTTCTCTATTCTTCTAACTAATAAACAAAACAACAAACTTTAAGTCAGTCTGTCATTTATTTTTCCACTACTTTTACTAAGTTCGTGCTGTGTTATCATTTTGGTGTCGGTATTGGGGCCATTACACATCAATTCACCAAATTTTAAAAAAAACTTTGAGCCTGACAATCTCATATTTGTCTGACTTTTTCTTGTGCAGACGTATGTTATGAAGTAAACGGTGTGAAATTTCTAGTCAGAGGTGTTTTGGAATAGAAAAAAAAACACTGACATTTTGTGACCAAAGCTGCAGCATCATATATATATATATATATATATATATATATAGTATTATTCTAACTATGACAGACCATGTGTACATATGAGTGAGTCTGCAGAGTTTCAGAACTCTAACTACATTATTTATCAAGTTACTGCACTTCAAACAGAAGAAAACACAGCATGACTCCACCCTCTATAAGAATGTTTAACTCAAAAACTAATGTTGGCTTTGACCCCAGATTTTACTGGTGATCAACTCAATCAACAGTCAGCACCTACAAAAAATAAAAATCAGTCAAACTGAAGATGGTCAGGCGTCAGACATTCAGTGAATTGGGGCAGAATGACCAGTGAGAGATGTCGGTATGCATTTTGTTAACGTGATCATTTTGGCATCATGAAGCATTTATCTGCCACTCATAAACACTCATCAGCTGTTCCACTAACACATGTTAACATCCACTACCAGCGCTTCCTAGAATACGACAGAAGTTTCCAGGCAAACTGCACATTAGTTCCAGATGCAAACGGGAAAAATGAATAGAGACAAAGCTTACCGTTGAAAAACCACTAAAAATGAACACATTTCATTATTCAGCAGTGTTCAGCGTAAGCGCTAAATCAAACCTCAGTATTCACACCTGAAACTAATTCAGGGGGTTTATCTGACAGAACACGGGCGACACGGTGCTTCATACTCACTGGTTTGTCACAGGAGCCATACAGCTTGACGATGTTGGGATGGTTCACCCTGGAGAGCTGGCGTAGCTGTGCACAGACAACAAATGGGCACATGGGAAACAATACATACTGTTCATGACCGATCTGCATTAGAAATCTGGTCCACGACCTTCGTCTGAACCGCTGGACCTGAACCAGGTTATGTGAGTGGTTCACAGGTTCAGACTGAAACCCTCCAAACTGCACTCTTCTGGGCTAATGCTGATGTTAGCGAACTGAAAGTGGGATGTTAACAGCTTTCTGTCTCTAAAGCTTCTTATTAGTTACAGACATTAAAAGTGCTCAGATCTGAGCTGGAGCGCTTGCTGAAGACCTGTGCTGGTTCTTCTCATCCAGACTAGTTTCACCCTCTGCCACAGTAATCAAACAATTATCCTGCAGTGTGTTGGCTTTAAAGAAAGGACGATCCGAACAGAACATCCTGTTTTCTAAATGTGTCGGGCCTCTACAGCTTTATTCTGAGCCAGCTGTTCTCATTTTGGACTAAAAGCGTGGAACTGGGCTTCATGCTGCACAAACAGAAAAGCAAAGGCGTTGAAGCACCTCAACGAGGAACGCGTTCCTTTCATTGTCGCTCTCGATGGTCTTGATGGCCACGTCTTTGCCCTTCCACACCGCTTTGAAGACCACTCCGAACGTCCCTCGTCCCACCGCCTGCGCGCGCACACACGCACACACACACACACACACACACGCACACACACACACACACACACACGCACACACACACAGACAAACTTTTACTACTAAACGTTGCCCAGCTCCTCGGGCCTGCTCCAGACTCGGGCCTGGTCTGCACCGTGTCGCAGCCGCTTCACAAACTGCTTCTGGGGGAAGCAGCCGAGAAGCGAAGACACGAGCGACGCTGAGAGCACATTTACCGCTTCAACTTGGATGTCTTCATGCTGGATGTCTTCGAACACACAGCCAGCCGGAGTCTCGACCATCGCGGCAGAGCTGGAGTTAGAACCGGAGCTGCTGCTTCATCTGTTGCTCGGAACCAGGAAGTAACCGCCAACTGCTCGCGCCGTGCTGCTGCTGCTGCTGCACATCTGTGCGCTCGTGACCGTCGCCCCGCCCACTAGCCGGTCCGGCCCGGTCCGGCCCGGACCTGCAGCCTAGCGGTGTCCGGAACAGGCTGTTGGACTGATACAGTGGCGCTTCGTCTTGTGGCTGAAGTTGGATTGAAGTCGGACACTGAATAGAACCGAAACAAAAACCGTTTAATCAGGAAATGTTGGCTGGACTCACAAACCACACAGCATCCAGCACAACAACCCCCACTGGGAGAAAGAGAGCAGTGGAACAGGAAGTTCTGGACAGCAGCAGAACTTCAGCTCAATGCATGGACAGGTCACCACATGCACTGCAAAGAAACACAAACCACAGATCATACAGACTCATCATGGCCACCAGTTACTTACAGATGCTTCAAAGATGAAGAGAAATAAAATATGCATCGCATTTATTGTTCCAGAGTTTAAACTCAGAATAGGAGTAAGCATGAGTGAGATCTGGCTGCTGGGTGTCAGGAGAGGCAAGGCCACGATGTGAAGCAGTCCACTGTTCAGAAGAAGAATACGCAGCGCAGGCAGAAAGAACCTCACTTCTCCAAAGCCTCAAAAACATGGAAGCAAAATGTGACTTCATAGAAATTCTATGAAACAACTCAAGAAGTGAGTTCTATCAAATATATTTAGCTGGTTTAGAAAACAATCATTTGAATTGAGAGAACATGAGGGGTATATGTGAGGAGTGAATCTGGGAGCTCCTGAGCCACACTGCCTACCAGCTGGTGGCAGCAATGCACCAGTTTGATGTTAGCCAACAAGCAACAAGCCCGAAATTAGAAGGACAAGACATTTACTCCCAATCCAGCAGTGTCTTCCCACTCAGGTACAGCAAGTGTTGGTGCAACAGAGTTCTCGTTGCATGACTGAATTGTGCTTCATTTTGTCAGTTTATCACTCATATGTGTATACTGATTAGGACATGTGTTTGTGTGTTGTACATAGGCGGAGTTAAGGGGTTATTTATTTTATCAGTCACATAATCAAATGATAGTTTTGTTGTCAAAATTAAAAAACACAGGTAATGACAGCAAGAGTGTTAGTGTAAGTGCTTCTACTATTACTGATAATAATAATAATAATAATAATAATAATGTGAAGCATGTAAATCAGTGGCATCACTGGCATAGCTGTGGATGGTTGTGGGGCAGTGAGAGGTGTTGCCCAATGCAACAAACCACACCAGCAAGGTGGAGAGAGGAAAGGTGGACCAGAGAGCACCAAGCAGGCAGGACTGCCCACTCAGACTCCAGCAACTTAGTGACCTGAGAAAAATAAGCTGTAGCACACAGAATATATCCCATGTGCCCAAACACGGTACTGGGTGGAGCTTTCCTATGAACATACGTAACTAAAGACCCTGAAATGAAAAAAAAAGTTTTGTCATGAGTAAAACTAGCTAGTGATTAAATGTTAATCATACATTTTGTTTGCTGTTGACCTGATTCTTGTGAGCAGGACCGATGCTAACAGATGAAGACAGTCATAGATCACAGTCAGAGCTAGACCAGCAGGAATGTACAGTACACCCGATCCAGGGAATGTTTGCTGGAGGGGACCTGTTTTTTTGGGTTTTCTTGACATCCAACATTTGCTATAGGGAAAAAATGATTTGAGGAAAGCTCTTGACGTTCCCAGTGCAGGCATGGAACATCCCCTGAAGGCTAAGATTGGCCTTTCTGGGGATGCTTGCTCCACTTTTGTCATTGTTGCCTTTAAACTGGGTACCTGCAGGGTACCTGTACACTGTATGCTAGTGAGGTCCCATACACCTGATGTATTGTTTGACATCAAGTGTGAAAGACCACATGTACTTTAAGGTACGAGCGAATTTTTGTAATATTATGAACTTCATCAAGTTAGAATTATTGATCACAAATAAACTGTCCTGAAGTCGCGTGTGGTTGTGGAGAGGGAAACATAATCCTGAGACTGTAGTCTTGTTTCCCAGAAATCAAGTGGAAAAACTGCAGCCTGAACTCCCTTCAGACATGCACTGTGTTCTGGTCATCTGGCTACATGTGTAGAAATCATTAATGATGCCGTTATTGGATATAAGTCACTTTTAAAAGTAGATGAGAATACACAGTATGTGAGCGTTTTCAAATTTAAGATGGAAGAAAACAGCTTCTCTCATTTATCTTGGACTTAACACATTAGCATACATTGAATTGTGCCATTGTTGATGGCAGACGTCACAGCAGCTTTTGCAAGATAATATGTTGTAACAAATAAAAAAAATCAGGTGTATGCATCAAGTAAATAATTAGGAAATAGACCGAGAGGCACCTGCCTGCAGGCCTCCACGGTCAAGCCTGCATCGGAACTGACTTGACCGTGGAGGCCTGCAGACCTGCTGATGTGAACACACCAGTGGAAGGGGTAGGCTTTTTTCACAGATACTGTTGGTGCAGCAGTTATGGTACAGATAGAAGATCGGTTGAAGTGCGTATTCTGTGTGATTTAAAACATGCAGCAGAGTGGGTTGAGGCCAACCAGAAACTCTTCTCTGCCAGAGTGGACCTGCCTGATGTTCTGTGCATGGGGATGAGGAACAGGCTGAGACTGCTCTGCAGTATAGGAGAGTCCAGGAAGAGGAAATGGAAGAGGAAGAAAAGGAAACGATACTGGATGTGTTTACATTTACATTCCACAGTATTGATGACTTGTGGAAATTCTCTAACATAGTTGATGAAAAAAACATTTGGCATATTGTCAATGTCAAACAGATTAATAAAGGCAACAGTACATTTGTTTATGTTGTTGTGACTTTGTGTGTTCATGTTTTGTTGTCTCATAGAGCACTTCATATATAATTTGCACTACAGTGTAGATCTCAAGAGTTTTGGTAGTCGTGGTATTTT